CCATCGGCGACGACAGACGCAGGTGATGGCAATATGTACAGACACATCTGTGTCTGTACATAAAAAGGCCAGACAGTGTAAAGTGAGCACTTGACTAAAGAGTTAATAAATTGTTGGCAAGTGTGTGTCTGCATGTACATGGGTGAAGATGAAGAGAAAGAGTGGTGGTGGGATCAGCATTGAAATTAGCCTTAAGAAAATATTTTCAAACAAACTTTCAAGAATTACAATGGTTGTTTTTTTATAAAAACAGCACAGCTGTCAAAAAGACAGGCCTATAAATGAACAAACTGATACAAGCAATGACATTTTAAGAGGCGAAGCTGAAAGGAAGTTCCCTGTGCGGAAAATTTAATCTTTTACAACAAAATAATGCTGATGAAAAGACACTTACCATTTCGAGCCTTGTTAAAGGCATGGCAACCAATTGGCACAATGCCAAAGCTGTAAGGAGTAGCCATTCCAAGTTTCTAACTGCTGAAACTATAAATAACAAGCCAAATCAATAATCAAAGATATTTGAATATCTGATAAACTTTTCTCCTTTTTTGATTGCATGATCCCCTCTTCTTGCTACCCTGAAAAAAATTTGCAATTTGACGTGACTTACCCATAAAAAATAAAAGGTTGTTTATGTTGTAATACTCAAAGGCACACTATGATAATATTTTCTTTATATAGAAAACTTAAAATTTCCACGAAACTTTTGTAGATTTCCCTTAATCACCACGATCCATATCCAAATTCATTAATAAATCATTATCCATATACTTGATTTTGAATTTATATTAGTTTCTAGTTTTTGAGTCAGTCTCAAAATGGAAACAGAGATTGGCAGACTTTAAAGTAAACTTTAAAAAAATTGGACCTAAGTATCTGCTCATATATTTTAATTTTTCACCTTTATGGATGGGGTATATCTTGATGATCTGGGGAAAACTGCTCAACTTTCTATAGAAAATTTATTAATTTAATTTTTTTAAGTCATTCACCATAATTTTTACTTTTATCATTACTGTCTGGTAGCTACATAAAGGTCTAGTATACCTTCAGAATGAAACAATTAAATTCACAAGAGTTGATTTCTAAAATGAACGATAAATGTTTGACCAACATCAAAAAGGCTAATTTGACTTTGTGTCTTTCAATTTTCGCTACAATATGAATGATGCATAGTCGGTTTGTCATGCGGAAGTAAACTTGACAACTTGAAATGTGAAGGGCGTTTATAAATTTTCTAATGTTTAGAATTCTGAGCGCCTGCAAACAAAGTTCGTATGTGAAAACAAAGTATCAAGACCAAGTTCGTATTACCTGTATACCTGCGGTTTGGTATATTCGCGGACTCTGGTCAGTCTACACGAATATCTAGCTTGAGAAATTCTAAATTTTCGCCGCCCTGAGTCAACGGAAGTACGCTGCGTAGTAGTAAAGGTAGGCTCGAAAAAAAATTGACATTATTTAGTATTTGTCAACCAATACTATGATTTCTTTCAGTTTTGAGTTACTTTTTGTCTTAAAAATTAAAATAAAATTAATTTATGGAACTTATATTTTGATATCGTCTTCATTTTGAATGTAATGAAAAATTAATTGGGTTTGTAGAAGACACAGATTTTAAACTACCCAGCATGCAGTTTTACTTCCTACTTCCCGGTTTGAGCAGTCGACACGTTCTCTCTGGTCATTGGTGATTTCTGCGATACAAAACGCGGCAGGGGGATTCTTCAATGACACCATGACGTTCACAGGGACTGTAGTGTGTCTCTTTGTGGTAATATTAGCAGTTTCAGGTGTGGAGCTAGAAGGAATCGAAGATGAGCATGGTGTCAGAATACCAACAAAATGTGAAGGTAAAAAAACTAAAATACCTGGATTGTCAATGTAATATTGTTATTTGCCGTTGTTTTCCTTCTTTTTGATGTGTGTGCGTGCTTCTAAAGTTACTCTGTAGGTCGTGTTATTTGACATCCGGAGGTTTTAGGGGTTTGAGTAAACGACTTTGCAGAGTAGACCCTAAAGATAACTATCCTCAAGTGGCAAAACAAAGAGATGTACGTTATTCATGTAAGGTTAGATTTTAAAGGACTTTGCTAGTCACTCTTGTACATATGTCATTAGTGTGTTGAAAGTATGGTAAATAATTGACCTTGTCATTGGTGTGGTAAAATGCAGACAACATACACATTGCACCTTGAATTATATACCAAAAGAATTTTCTTCCAGTTTGTAAATATCTAGTAACGGAGCTTCAGCAAAGACTATCAGAGACATCATCAAGCGAGGTGTTAAGAACAGGTCATGGACTGGACAAAAAACCACTGAAAGAAATCAAATATGATAAGTCGTAAGTTTTGTTTGCATGTCTTTTTTTTTACACCAGAAAATTGTAAATGAAGAATAGATGAAATGACAAATCCCATTTCTTATAACTAGCCAGAAATGAAATTAGTTTCTTAAAGATGCTTCTGTAGATTTCAAGATAATACTGTGAAGTCTGTCAAATCCTGTTTGAAAATACTGTAAGCGATATGCATTGTATTGTAAAATAATTTGGTTGTTTTAGATGAATAAGTTGAATATGCAGTGATGATATTGTGCTAAATCAAGCTTATTTATTTTTTTTTAATTGAGAATTGTACAAAAGAGAGAAAAAAGACTGGCCTGATTCACATATGTATTTTATATGTAGCCTTTTTTTGATAGTATGTTTATCTTCAGGGACCTGCGTCTAATAGAAGCTTTGACAGACCCCCATGTTTGTGATAAGATTTTGGAGTACAATGTGCACAAGGAGAAGAAAGGCAGCATGAGATATGCCAAAGGGATGAGTGAGACAATGCAGACTCTACATGGTTTGGTGTAAGTAAAAAACTTTACATGGCAAACAATACAGGGTGCCCTTGACTTATGAAGGACTCCTATTATGTAGCTTGGAAGGGATTTTTTTTTCAATAGGAAAATGCAATATGAGATTGATTTTGTGGATTTGCTATAATTGTGTTTTCTTGGAAAATCAGTTTTCATCTTTCCTATTTCCTTTTTGGAATTTGGCAAATATATGGTCAGATATATATGTGCAAATATATGTGGGCATATTTTCTTAATTTATGAACAATTTACTGGGGGGAAATGGTATAGGAAATCACTCTTCATACATGTATAGATAAAGAAACACATTGGTGTAATCTTGTTAACATGACAGATATGGACAAACCTTCAGTGTATTTTGTATACTCACAATTATATCAATCTCAATAAAATTCCAAATTAGTTATGTATTTATATCTGTCTTCCTAGGATTTCAGCCTCAGGTGTATGCCAAACTATGTATATGAACAAGGATATTTATATCTGTATATGTTTAATGTTTCAGATTTGTCACAAATTATTTTATATTTTCAGGGACAAGGGTGTCAAGGTGGAGCTTGGAATGCCGTATGAACTTTGGGATAAGCCATCTGCTGAGGTCACAGCCATGCAAAGAAAGGTACATACTGCAGTAGTGGTTACTGATTTGTTTTTGAATATCTTCTCAAAATTCTTATCCTTTAAACTTTTTTTAAAAATATGTATTCCAGAGTTGTTTTGGGGACTTTTTTCTCATTTGACTTTTAAATCTCATAGATTTTAGATTCTCAAGTAATTTTTCATTTTCAGTGCTACAAAATGGTGGAAGATTATGAAGAGGATATTGAAGACTGGTACTACAATAACCGGGAAAAAGACATGATTGAATATTTCTGCAGTAATCTTGTTCTGAAAGGAAATGATGACAAAAGTGTGTTATTTATTTTTGGTTTTTTAATATATATATACAATTTATATTATGATACTTTACATAATTTAGTAATGCTATATATTAGATTAAGAAGATTAATTTTGTTTGCATATATTAATTTACAATGTACAAAAAAGTCAGACAGACAAGAAGTCAAACAAATAAATTGTTATAATGTATTTCTTTTTTTTTCTTTTTGCAATAAATATATTTAGTTAAAGATGGAGATCCGAATGATGTGAATGATTCCCATATGACATATAATGTCAGAATGTGTGGTCATTTACATGCAGTAGCAAAATTGGTGTCCCACACTTATTCACTATAACCTGAATTTAAACTTTGCCAAATTGCTGAAAAATTTTAGCAAAATCAAAATTAATTGGCTTAATAATGATAAACTTTCAATATTTTAGAATATTTTTCATTATCTGATCAGCTAAGTCATCTATGTAGCATTTGGAGAAAAAGTAATATTCTAGTGTGAGCCTAGTAGCCTAGCCGTCTGTATCACACCACTCCTTGATAATGTAAACAATATGCATAATTAACTATTTCAGCATGTCTCACAGAGAAGGAGGAGCCTGAGGAGGATAAGAAGGGAGAGGATGGGGATGTAAAAGAGGAAAAGAAAAATAAGAAAAAGAAAAAAGGTGAATGTTGAACTATTTTAAAATGCAATGTGTAAAGATTCATTCTTTGCGAATGTGTCAAGTTGATCAGTATAATGACAATTTGTTGCTAACCATCAATCATGTGCAGTTATGCTTTTGCATCATGATAAATATAATTTTGTTACGCAATATTTAGATTTATTGATACACTATAGGTAAAAAGAAGAAGAAAAATAAAGGGAAAAGAAAAGATGAAACTGAAACTCAAGGTGAGTTTTCCTATTAATTTTTTATACATCTTAACATCTTGACTAGAAAAAATAGCAAATTAATGTTCACTACTTGGTTTTTATTTGAGATAATTGGTTTTGAAAGGTTCAGTAAGCTTATTTGTCATATGTTGTATCAGTATGTAAGTTATATAAGGCATCACAGTTAAGATATAAGCATAAGATATAGACAATTTTTTTCAGGCTTGGGCAAAAAGGAAAGTAAGAAAGTGAAAGAGGACACAAAAACGGAAAAGCAAAGAGATGAGTTATGACCTCACTCTTAGGACTTCCAAATGCAATGCTATGTTTTTGAAGTGAAACTGAGTTCATATCACAGGGCAGAAAGTAAAAATGCATTTGTCTTAGTACATAAAGGTTGAGAAAGACCACTGCATATGGGCACTACCGTTGTCTTTTTTCTACTCTTTTTTTATAAGTGGAAAACTGGTGCTAGATAATATTGTGTGTTGTTGTTCATGTTCACTTGATACTCTTTTTTACACAAAAACATGTTTTTATGCAGCCCGAACAACTGGCAGTGTGTATTTATGAAAACAATGAAATGTCATTTTGCATTGTTACAATATTGGTACACTTTTTTGCTGCTGATAAGCAAGATGTAATTGTTAAGGACAAGCACTTCCACCATCTATGATGCCAGATGTGCATTCATTTGCAACTCTCAGGAGATGGCTCTTTGGTGCCAGCTACCTGTCACCCCTTAAGCCCCCTTTACATGGATGATTTTTTCTCTGCGTCTTGTAGTATGGCCCTGTTTGAGAGTAAAAAAAACTTGCTGACAACTGACCAGTCATTGAGCATTCATTCTGCATCCAAAGGGATGTACCATTGTAAAAAAAATAAATAAACACTTATTTTGATACCATGAAATGCCTTTATAAGACTATCATTATAATTTCTTCAGAGTATTAATTAGTAAGTCTCATAAAGAGGTCACAAATAATAGCTACACCTGTCACAAATAAGACATTGGTGGTATCTCACATTTGCATTCAGGAAATGGAGTTGGTAGCTTATTTAATGCAATAGTAAAAAGAACAATTTGTGAAATTAGATAATGTTAAGTGGATTTAGATTTTTGAGGAGACAGAAACTTGACTATTGAAGTAATGCATTTGCTTTAGTTTAATTTTATGTCCCTTGACCTTCCAGTCATTTCAGAAATCCATAATAATGATTGGAGCAGCCTCTGTTGTTTTTATAAATTTTATAAGCATTATTGTGAAATGAACAAGCTTAATGTCTACTGTCTTTTTGATTACTACAGAGGGAATAATCCTACTGATGTAAAATTTCAAAGTTACAGACAGCAGGTCTTTTGGTATCCTGTTTACTTTTTCATTGAAATAGGGATCAGCAGCTAAAGACATTCCATAATATTAGCAATCACTTTTCATAATTTAATTTAAATATTGGCCATAGGTTCATTTGTTCATCTTAATTGTAAATATATATCACACTTGACCCGTTCTGAGATTTGTCCGATGTGGACTTCCTTTTCCACTCAGTAGCCAAACGTCTATTTTTTCCAATGGACACAGTAAAGTTTGTATTGTTGTTTGTAGCCATGTCATTGAAATAAATACTTTTGTTAATTAAAGTGTTCTCTTTATTATTTATTTATTTTATTAATTTTTTTTTTTTTGAGGAGATGCAAAAAAATATTTTCCAGATGGTAAAAATACAAAAATGAAAACATGAAGTAACTGAAATGTGCTTTCAACTCTTTATCTTAAACACAAGAAACAAAAAGCTCATTTATCTTACAAAGCTTGAATGGTATTTGTAATTTGATCATTATTATAAAACATTTCTAAAGCATGCAATTAATTGCAATGATGCACAAGTTTATATTAATGGGGCTTATAGTTACAGTTACTTTTAACAAAATTACTCCAAGACAACTTGTGTCGTAAATGCATTTTACAATTGCCCCCATGGGTTTCTGTCACAGTGACCACCATGGACAGTTATGAACTGTGAACTTTAATTTTTGAACCGCTTCTACTATTTACACAATTTAAAAGAACCAATAGGTTCAATGGTCTGCCATGATTTCAGTCTGTCTAATTGGTAGACACTGTTTTTCAAATCATAAGTATGTTCATTTAGTTGGCAATGATACAAAGTTATAATCCAGAGGCATACAGCTGTATCAGATCAAATCCATCTTTGTGATGCCTTAGTAAATCTTCCAGTGATGCTTTATCTGCTGAGGGTGGATTGCTTTTTTTAAGTGACATACACCAGCTTCCCTCATTTTCTAAGATCATCTCTGTAAAACCCAGTATCAGAATCCCTTTGTCCATTCTGAAACAATGCCAATGTATTCATTTTAAATTATTGGGTGGCACAACAGAAATAGAATATGCAACAATTTTAAACAATAAAGGGCTGACTAGCCAGAAAGGATGCGACATCCCCAATAAACTTATCTCAAGGCAAACCATCTATGCCACAAATACTTTTAACATATCAAATATGTGTACATTAATAAAGGGGAAAAGGTTAATGACCCATTTTGTTAAGGGGGTGAAGGTATAAGTGCTATTCTATGCTATTCTTGTTTACTTACAAACTCAAAGAAAGTCAAATACAATCTAGACCTCACCCTCTCAGTCATTGTTGAATTTATATCACTGTGCCTCATCTCACCTACTCACTCCCTCCATCATTCCTGTGTCTCCATACTTTCATCTCCTTCTTCATCTTCATCCTCCCCTTCCTTCTTTTCTGGCTTTTCATAAGCCTTATCTGAAGGTGTGACCACCACCCCTTCCCACACACTCATCTCTGTGGCAATGCCTAACAACAAGGGAAATGAGAAAAGTTTTTAGAATCATTTCTGTAAAGGTTAGTTACAGAAAATGCATTATCTACTAACAGTTCAGTGAGTGAGTTTACTTGCACTTACCTTGTTCAAAGATGCCAACATTACATATTTATTAATCCTTCAATATGTGAACATGGCAAAAAATTTAAAGGAAACTTGATGGGAGACACATTTACAAGACATTTAAAACTGAACAATCTAATTTTTAAGATACAGAAAATTTTTCTCATGAGATCTATGCTTGTCTCCATCCACCTCAATATGCCCCTTACTTGAATTTCCTTCAAGACCCAGTATCTGTTTAAATCCTCCATGTGCAAGGACACGAAGTAGTGTTTGTGCTGTGTAGCAGACTTGGTCCTGTTGTTCTAGTGTCATCACTGTGTGTATGCGGACTGTGCCATTCTCACAAGGATCTGTGATACCCACGGACCCTGGCAGGAAGAACCCTGCTGCCAACAGCTGTAAGCTACGCCTGCAGCAAAACAGTGATTTGTACAATAATAAAAGTATGGAGAAAAAGTAATTTACCTACACCTGTTTACATTCTTTGTTTACCAATTGTGCTGGTTACAAATATTTTAGTTACAGTGAGTGAAATAGCAAAGTTGGCACAGTGAGGAAGAAGGTGTACATACACCTAAAAGCTTGCTTAACAATTTTTTTTGACACGCATGCTCACATTACACTGACAGGTGAAAAGAGGTCATACTGATAGGATGCTCCTTCCAAATCTAAACAGATTAATATTAATCAAAACCCTTTCTATTTAGAGATGATCAAAATAAGAAAAATGTTTTTTTTTCCTTTTCCTTACCTAAAAGCTACATGAATTGGCAGTGGCTGTCTTGTTGGATTGTTCATCACAGAATAATGACCCTGTGTTAGGAAAATGATTCAAAAATTATTTAGTTGGTATATCAATTTTTTTAATATATACATATACTTTTTCTGTTGAATTAAAATAAAGGCATGCTAAGGTTTCCCCAAAGAAAATATCTTTAAATCAGTTATAGGTAAAAAAAAAAAAAAGTCAGATAAAGTGGTTAAGTGGATAAAGTCAGAGTGCAGTGTGTGTAACACCAGAAACTTTGTATGACATCTTTTCCTTTTTGTATTTTACCAACTCGATTAACATCTCTGTGCAATTACTGTTGCTCTCAGCTCCAGTTAATATATAAATCCTCTAATATAACTCTTAATAGTTTTTTTAATGAACTGCCAGCCTGTTTGCACTCCCCCCCACCCTTTTCAAGTAAGCAACCACTGTCCAACACAGTAATTAAAAAAAAAAAAAAATTTAGCGCAGTAAATCATCGAAATTAAGCACAAGATCTACCATTATAAAAGTCTAGGTTGCAAAACTCCAGTGGTCTTTCAATGCAGTGGATAAAGTATTGCTGTTTGGATTCCCTTACCAGTAAGTCCAGTATCCAAGGTGTCAAGGGCTCTAGTCCCTCAAATCTATTCCTCAGATCTTTAAGTAGACGGATTAACACTTTGACACTGCAAACAAGTAAATGTTTATACATAAAATAACATCATTACCTTTTGTTAAATTTTACTCTAGTGTTCATTAATTCAAACAGATTTGTTACCACTAAACAATTCAATCACTGTATGAGCTGAATGCTGTCCTACTGAAAAAAAAGAAGAAATAAACAAATTAACTCTAATGAATTTCCCTAAATGAACAAACTCTTTCAATAAAATTACAGCTGCTCAGTCCTGCAAGTTGGATACAATACCTTGAATGAAATGCATTCTCTTCAAACCACCTGGCATGTCTTATGGCAGCCAAGTGGCTCTGCATTACTTTACCATCCACTGAAAACAAAACAAAATTTAACATAAATATCAGAGAAGACCAATTTAATAATTTCCTGTTTACAGAAAAATTAGACATCATAAATGAAACTATAAAAATGGGAATCAAACATCACATACTTTGTTACAAACATGAGGTTATGGTATGTGTGTATAACGTAGCTGAGAATAAAAGGAAATTTCTTGGTTTTTTAATATGTATTGAAACCACTTATGTTCATCAAGTCAGCAACAGCAAATAAATAAGTAAAACAATAATTTGTAAAAAATGCTGGATGTAGAAGTATGTCTATTAATAAATTAATAAATTTATATATTATTACTTACAATGTAACTCAGGGTCTAGTTTCTTCAGGTTAGGAGGAATGGTGGTGATGAGACAGCGAACAGTGGCCTCTGGTGTGCTAATCTCAAACCCTGTATCAGTTGGCATCATGGTCAGAACTGCAATAACATACACAGGTCTTAAATGATGAGAGAAATGCATTAAATCACATTCATGCCCTATGCTAATAATAATAATGAATCAACATCCTCAGATATCCAGTAAGAAATGTACTATCTTTTATCCTAAGGGATTAAGTAATTAAGAAAATTGAAATATTTAAAATCCAACCAAATATTTTATTGTATGTATTATATCAATAATAATCTGCTCTTGCAATTCAAAATATGCATGTCTCAACAAAACATTTGGAATGCTCCATATTTTTGATGAAATCACCCTAAGTCTACCTTCTGAGGAATCCTGAGCTTTTACATCCTCCAAGACCTTGCCTCCTAGCACTGTTACTGCCTCAACTGAAAAAGAAAAATTACTATAAAATGTTTCACCAACAAATAAATTAATGACAGATATTTTTAAATTAGTAAAATATCTTGAGACTATACTGTCACTTGTGACAAACTTGTGTCAATGACAAATGTATCTCTTGTATGAATCAAACCAATGACCAGTTTTTGAATATTTATGTGAGCAAAGTAAATGACATTGACAATATAGCATTGGTACTAATAGTTAATGGTAACTAAACTAACTTGTTGGTAAAGTCTTTAAGATAACCACTATGTCTGCCACATTGTGTCCTAGTGTCATGGTGCCTTTCTTATGTGACCCCACCTGACGCACCTCTTCCAATTGCTGGAGTAGGAGCGAGCAAAAAATAATTATAGAGATAAGTATTGTGATTCTTTTCTATATCAACATAATATCTATATAATTATCAAATCACTTCTTTATAATGTCAAGTACTGATAGTTATCGGGTAATAAAATTAAAATGGAAGAATAAACCTAATTCAGCTTTTGATTTCATGATTACAAAGTAGCTCTGTTGGTATGATTTAAATTTCACTAGTGAAAATTTCTGATATTAAACAAATAACTAAAACTCAAGAATTCCAATTAAAGGATAAAAAAATTATTTCTTTAGACAAGAAGTATTTCTATTACCGCAGCCTCAAAGGCTCCTGGAGATACTATGAGGTTATCCATAACAGTGTTGATTTTAGTCACCAGTGCCAGGATAGATGACTGCTCCTGGGGGGTGGGGCTCAGGTCTTGATTGCGCTTCAGGAGAGCCTAAAATTTAAAGAAAATTACAATAATATTTCACAAATTAAAATATCTGAATCAGTGAAATGTTACAATCTTAATACACAAGCTTGATTAGGATAAATAAAAAAAACCTCCAAAAAATGCACTTTTTGAAAAAGAAGATTTCCTTTTTTTCAATTGTTTGTAAAAAAGTGACCATCAATTACTTAATTTTACTCACATCTGTGAATGCCTTCTCATCAGAAGCAGGCTTTACTCTGGGAAAAGCTGGCTCACACTACACAAAAAGAGGTATATTTTCAGATACAGTTTGAAATTATATTAACACATTTATATATCTATAATGTTAATTCAAATAAAATGATAAATTTCCTTTGGATAATAAAAATTTTTGTTATATATATTTTCTAAAATAATATTCAACATGTCAATAATAAATGGTAATCATAAAATTAAATGATATACTTATAATAAGTAACACAGTACATCTTCCTAAATTACTCACAAAATGTTTATGACTTTGTAGCTTTCGTCTACAGACATTGAACTTACCTGAGCAAGGTCAAAGGGGATATGGGGTATAAATGTTCTGAAACTGAAAATTAAAAAAAAAAATAAAATATACTGATTTTCATCTTTTCATCATTTTTTTTCAGAAAAGCATGTTTATTTGTAAATAAATATTTGGTGTTCATTTCTGCATGTTAACTTATCCAAAAATGGATGTACATGTCCTTTAGTTTTGAGGGTCTCATAATTTTGCTTACCTATAGAACAGTAACCTAGCACTATTGTAGACAAAAAAAGTCAAAAACCATATGATTATATTCAGAATTGTAAATATACCCTATGAGAGGTTTGATACTTGCAGTATCATGTGTTCCAAACTTAAACATTCAAGTATGATTTCCCATCTTTTTCTATATTTCATTTTGTGGGGTCTTTGATCAATGTTTCTTTTATTAAAAAAAAAATTAACTTATTCTACTGAATTTTCAGTGTTCATCCCTGAAATGAACTCTGCTCTCTAGTATATTTGAGTGGGCTTGAAGTTGCTTGCAAAACATTTTAAAAAATCAGAAAGCAAATTTCTAACGGCTGATTATGAGTGCAAGTCACCAAATAGCTTAATATAGAAAACCATTCAAAATCAATGACATGGAATTTTGGGGCATAATGCATAAGTGCCAGAAAACTGAGCATTATCCAACAAAGAAAATGTCTAGCTTACAGTCCGCCAGGGCCTTTGTATCCCATTCCCCTCATCCCTCCCCTAGGCATTCGTCCACCGGAGTAGTGCCTGAAATAATAAAACAAAATATTTAATATACAGGATTGCGGCTTATAGATATTTTCGTGCTTGCATCTGCAAGGCCGATGTTTGCCTCTGTTTACGACCCGACTCTAGGAAGCAAAACTAAGAGCAAATTGCAGGCAAAAGATGATGCCTGATATGATTTTAAAAACTACTCGTTGTGTCCTCGCTACGAACAATGTCTGGCAATAATATTAAAGAGGTAGTGTAAAGTCATCACCTACATTTTAGTTAATTTTAAAATGTAGATAACGTTACGTAACGACACTGTCACAGTATCAACGTCAATGTCATTGCAAATATTCATAATGCTAGTAATAAAATAGCCTTATATAGTGCATTCCATTTCATTAACAAATATGCGCATAAAATTCTACTTAAGATGAGGTATCTACTGGGTGTAGAGGTGTAGAGGAATAAGAGATAACAGTAGTACTCACCTCATTATTGCTTCTATCTCAACACCGACCGGCTTTTTGTCAAAGATGGCGAAAGCGTGCTTGGTGGTGGCAGCACTGGTAACTTTGTTTTTAATTCTGAGGACAAGCTACAAATTTGCGTTGAATTCTTCAAATCACGGATAACTGTGGGCTAAATATTACTATTTATTCACGCAAATGCACTTTTCGACCATTTTGAAAAGCAGCTTAAAACGTATTTGCGATTAGATTTTAATTTATTTTTGATATTGCCCCGTCTTTTGAAATCAAAATCCGGGTATTTCAACTATGGATGCCTACTGCGCCATGCAAAGGCACTGATGCAAAGGGTAACCATCGCACCAGTAAATGAATACTTGCATGTTTGGAAACATTTTAACGACAATTTACAGCCTTCTCAGCCAGTCCAATACAAATATTTACAATAGGCTCATGTTGGCGGGTTCATGTCCGAAAAATAGAAGAGATAGGTATCATATTAATTGTACGTGTAGGGCCTACAGCCTTACAAGCTTACGGTGCCCTTACCGCAGATAAAGTTTCTGCAGGTAAAGGTACCTAGCTTCTAAGGCTGAAAACCGAGATAAATGCAGGGTGCCTTTGTGATGCTACATGTACGTAATTTAGATATTGACCCACGTTGAACATTTCGTTTTAACTTCCCGTTTTTTTTTGTTTGTTTGTTTTTTTTTGTTTTGTTTTTTTTTTTTTTTTGTTTTTTTCCAATATCAAATTTATTTCAGAAGAGCAAGCGTATGTCACACTAACACAATATAATTTGCCTTTTAAACTTAAAACATGAATCGAGTTGCATGAAAATTGCATGGTAGCACACTTGCATGCACATGCTGGGTACCATGGTGACTGAGATTAAATCACAATTCTAACAGGTTTATCTGAATTTATAGTTTTATGTTCACACACATTAAAAGTGAAATCATGATTTACCTTTCTAATTCTGGTAACTGTATTGGCGCTAGCAGGGGAGCCAGTGTATGTCTTTTTTTTTAGTTTCCAGTCTCTACAATTTTTCGGAAAACATATCAACATCTGCAGCTAGTATCAATTACATTCCCAAGAGATTTTATACTGTGGTAAAAAGTTTAAATTTACATCAGTAGAATCCTACTTGTGAGATGGATTATTTTAAAAGGAAATCTGGTAATGCTACTGCATTCACACGAGAGGCTCTGCAGCGATAAAATTGAAATTAGCCACTAATCATGATTAAAAATGCTGTGTGTGAACCCGTAGCCTTGTAGTGGCATCTGTTGTGCTTTGCAGCCGTGAAGATCCAAGTATCCTATAATGGAAAGTGTGGAACATTTGCGTCACCTGGAATTCCCTCACTCAACCCAGCTGGCATTACAGTACATACAGCAGCACTCTGGAGATTGTGACAGTACTTCCACAGAAGACAGGATACCTGGGCTGGGGGTTGGCTCTGAGAGCATCACCCAAGAGCTGGCACAGGAGTTTGTGTTCTTTCAGACACCTGGGAGACAGGTAAAAAAGATCAAAGCTTTCCTACACTTAATCACATTCTTATAAATGACAGTGGTTGGCTGAGGGAGTGTTAGAAGGATTAGAAGCTGGAAAAGCATGTGTGACTAAAAATCATAACTCCAGGAATCTATTCATGCTCAGTTTTTCTTTTAGAATTTTTCTTTGTTTCTTCCAGAAGTTGTCAGCCATTCAGGAGTTTCAGTTGAAAGAGCTCCTGTGTAATTATTTCCATGAGCAGAAGGATGGTAAAGCGCAGGCCATCTTCAATACACTGTTTGACAGTCGCCCAGGGTTGTTCCAAGCCTACCAGCTCAGTGTTCTCAGCAGCCTGGTATCCATGGGTGTGGCCATGAAGTGCACTGTCTTATTAGATTGTGCAGCCATCTGGATCCAGGTGAGCAAAGGTTTGCATCATCTGTAATACTGCAGTGTAGGTAAAATAACGTAATTGCCTTCGTTGTCAGTTATTCAGTTATGCAGGTTCAATTACTCACCCTCCATAAGCTTTAAAGTCCCGGCATGATAATAATTTTTTGTTGATGTGCAATGTGAACTATTGTATAAAACATAGTCATGTTGACTTATTTGAATAGTGGTCAAATTGAAAATGAAAAGAATGCAGGAAACTCTAACTAATGTGTATGTACAATGCTGGAAAATACTACACTGTGTGTGTGTGTCTGTGTGTGTGTGTGCGTGCGCGCGCATGCGTGCGTTCTGAAACATTGCATACAAAATTTAATTGGTCATGATAGCACAGAGTGAGTTGCATGTTTTACCCATTTTGCATCATAAGTCTAATAATTTAGTAATTTCTTTTATTCTAAATTATTAAATTTTTTTACAGAAACATGGTTACAGCACTCAGAATTCGGAGAACTTAATCAGGGATTTGGTAAAGGATTATTGTCTCCTGATTCCTGGGACTACATCCGTCTTAGAAGAATTACCACAGATATCAGCAAAATTTGCCTGTAGCTTCATAGCTGTCACCTCTGCTATTTACAATATGTCAGGTAAGGTATTTTTCCAATTGTCTTGTCTCTTCACAAGTCATGTTTTTTTTTCTTTTTTTTTGTCTTCTAATTGTTTATAATTAAGGTTAGAGTGATAGCAAAATCTTGACCAAATTCTGTATATTTCCAAAGTTCCAGACACAGATATTCCATTTTCCTTGCTGCAACTGATCACAAAATGGGTGGAGCAGGATCCAACACTCTGCTTACAACTGCTGCCACCTGTTAGTCACTCCCTCAAGACAAGCAGTGCCAAATCTGTTGTACTGCATACACCTATTCTAGGACTTCTTGCTTGGTCAGTAGTGATTCCTCTAAAGAAAGAACTAAGGACTTTACGCCAGAATGAGCAACAAAGTAATGGGACCAAGACCATTGATTCTCAGGCTGTGCGTTTGGTATCAGACAGTGAATTTTCTGCTGAAACTTTGTGCTCCAGGCTCCATTTGGGCCTCTTGAAGACAATTTTAGTGATTGGTTCATCTCCTCAGCACATCCAAATACATTTACACATCCAGGATGTGCTCAGTTTAGCCCAGGAGGTGGCGACACTGAGCTCTGGGAGGACAGGACTGAAGACTGTGCTTAGTGGGGCTGAAAGGCTGCTTCAAGCACTCCAGGTGGCTATGTATGTGAAGGCTTGCAGATGCCAAGCAGGTAAGGGAAGGTTTTTCCCCTAATATTTAAGCAAAATGACTCAAACCTTTCAATGGAGAAATTATCAATTATTCAAAAATGTGATTTTGGAATCATTAAATGTAGCATTTGTGGTGCTTTTCCTGCATAGAATAGAACTTTAATTTTTTTTTAATTTATGGGTTTAAAAAATACAGTATCTGTAAAATTGACAAATATTTCCTTTGAAAATATTGAGTTATTGTTGTAAATTAAATATGTGCAGTAAATTTTGAAAATTTGAATATGAAATATGGTGACATACATTTCATTCTTAGGTATCTTGGAAAGTCAATTGTTAATGGTTAGTGCTAACTGCTTATTAGATTATCGTTGGTTAATATTCTATTTTCATTTTTGCTGAAAGTGAAATAGTTCAATAACAAACTTCTTTTTTTATTTATTCTATACTTTCTTGTTTTTTTCAGAAGATTTGAAAAACCTTGGGAGGACACTTCCAACAACCAGGTAAATTATCTTTTCTGAGTGTAGATATGTCTTTAAACATACCAAAATAATTATATCTATAATACCATATTACACACCTTGCACAAATACAAACTTCTTTGAAAAAACACAGTTGTTCAGCTGTTTTGTTTTTTATTTTTTTATTCATTATTATTTTTATTAAGTATTCTCTTCTCTGAAATCTGAATTGATATTGAAAATAAGGAGTTATGCTCAACTCAATAACCAGTTAAAAGTAATTGAAGTGTTTGATAAGATCTTATGTAGAGAACCACTTCTATGTTAATAATAATTAATTACATTTCAGATTACTTGATATTCTGCTTCAAAGATTGAGCTCCACATCTGCATCACATGAACCTATGGAACATTGAACACCATCAGGGGCAAATAAGAGAAATAGGATTTCTCTAGTTCAAGTTATCATCAAATTTTTGGCCCAAGTTATAAAATGAACTCAACAACAATGTGCTTTTTTATGTTATGTTTAAACACTATATCAAGGACACTTGTAAATAAATCTATTTACCATCGAGTGGATAGCCTTGCAATTTGTTCTTTTTTGAGAAATATACAAGATAAAAATACAATTTTTGATAATACAAGGCCATTGGGAAAGTTTTTCTCTGGTCCACTCTTGAGTAACAATTTTACATTATTTTTCCACAACATTTGCTTAACTAATAGACATCGAAGTAAGTATATAAAAAGATTTGTAAGGTTATTGACACCAAATGAGATCAGTCGCACAGGGCTTGGGTCACCGTCTATTTATCAAGTCGTGATTGTCAAATATCCGGAGATTTCCAGACAAATATTCGGACATTTCCGGAGACTTACTCAAACATGTTATTTCATGCATATGCGTTTAGAGGTTAAATATTCAGTTGTCCACTTGGGAAGACTTGGTATTTAGAATATGTTGAAATGTCTTTTAAAAATAGATTTCCAAAAGCTGCCAGTTTGAAATTTCTGAAGGGTTTTCATCACATATTTCTGAATCAATTAAATCTGTAACTCTGTTCTAATTGGTCTTTGAACGACCTTGGTCAAAATAAAATTTGTTTTTAAAATCCAATGTTTTTGACATGGTGGTTGTAGATGGATAGATATTTATTTTCTGGGCAATTTCAACTTTATTAATGGAGCCTCATGAGCCTAATCCTCGAGATCCCCGAAGCTCGTGGGTTCCTACCAGTACTGTAGACCCTATGCCGCGTGAAGTTAAGTGCACGCGTACTTTGCTGACTGCCCTAGGGCAATGTTTACCGAACCTAACGATGACCTTGGAAAGACGCTCATTGTGCAAAACGCAATTAAACTAGAAAAAATGTCCACGAGGACATTTTTTTTACTCGAGCATGAATAGTGCATGTAGAAGTCACAATTGTCATGCGTACTTTTCGCCGTTTATCTTTTTAAAGATCCAAGTACGATATCATCCTTGACTGTCGTCAATTAATGCCACAGTTAGGTATTACATAATAAGGCACTGTCATCTATGCCTAAATATTTGCCAAACTAACGTGTTGGCAAACACAATTTCATTAAATATCTGGCAACAAATAACCGCTGAACAGTCTTATTTCAGAAATATTTCTCGGCGGATATTGTTAAAACAACAACCCCAATAGATTGCAATGAGCTATTTTCACAAAGGATATATCCATATGGAAAACAATAGCTGTTCTGTGTACAGTCTCTTTTTGATAACAACAAATGTGACGAAGACCCGCGTTTAAGAAAGAATAAAACCGACAACGATCAGATAACTTGGAGCAAAACTATGGTTTGATGCAGCCGTATGATAAACGGGGCTGTTGGTGATCAACTTTTGCGATCGTACATTGCCAGCAACAAAGACTATTGAACAAAAAAGGTATGGAATAACCGAGTTTTGATGAAGGTTTCGGAATTTCAACAAAATGTGACATTAACTTTTATTAAGTTTGTTAAATTTAGTCACGGTTCCTGCTGGATGCAATAAGAGATTGTAATTAAATTACGTCAATTTGAGTACCACCGCATGCAGTTATTTACATCCTCTGTTCGGACCAGGAACAATTGTTCGTACTATCACAAAGCAAATTTTGCGCTGAATTATCACTATATAAAATAAATTTGTATTGGAAAAAATTATCAGAATGATGCATCAGTGATGTAAAAAATAGATGATTTAAAAAATCAAAATTCGTTGTAATGCACCAAGGCTAGAAATGATGACCGAGCGATCATACTTAATTTTACTTTGACTGAACATTATTTAAAATTCAGTTTTAAAAACCTCAATTGGATTCAACGTTTGGAATTAAAGAGTCAACCCTGCCCTTAGCATTCATAAGTTGAGGGTGAAGTATTTGAAAAATACTAAGAATTCGTTATCAAAGTTGGTTTTGTGCCTATAATTTGAGCCATGTCTCAAAAAAAAAAAAAAAAAAAAAAAAAGGAATATAACCACTTATAGGCCTCCTCTATTGTAGCAAAACATATACTATCAGTAAATTTGCAAACAATGGTTCTATTGATCAAACTTACGTGGATTGTTTTGTTCGTTGGAAGCTCAGTACAAACAGTTGTGTTCATCTTGCAGTATATGGTTTAAGATAGTAATAAGGGTTGAACCACGATTTTATGTACTTGTTATTTATACCTTTGTCACTTCCGATCAACTAGATTAATTTTGGAAAATCCATACTTCACATACATGCATAATTCACATAAGTGATCCAAAGAAAACTCTTTTTTAGGGAAGTATTGAGACAAAATGAAATTTATTGCGGTCTTTACGCTTGCTTCTGCACTTCATCTGATCATGGGTAGGTTCACAATTCCTTTTATACGCTTTGCAAGTTAATAAGGCACAGGTTTGAGAATAATAATAATAATAATAATAATAATAATAATAATGATAATAATATGATAATCATCAATCAATATTAATATTTCCATTGATATTATTGACAAAAATAACAATGACAGTATTCTTGAAACAAGCTGTGCACGCTTGTCGGTGGTATATTGACCACAGTAAGACAAAGACTTCAACTAAATACCAAACAATCTTAAAAACATTTCATCCAAACCATCAAATTAATGTAATTTGTAATCCTTTCTTGGTATTTTAATTATTGTCGCTTTTGTCTCTCTTTCACCCTTAGCTGCTCCGGACAATCGAGGCACCGAATTTTTACTAATGTTCGGAGAAAACCTAATTATCAGCGGGGAGGACTTCCTTTTGGAGCTTTTTGTTACCACCTCCTCTACTGACGTGGTGTTTGTAAGTATCATCATATTTCTTATCATATCACCAGCGTCACTTGAATTGTTCTTTTCAGCTGGTTTCACCTGGAATACGTCATTCCAAACCCTGATGTGACTCTCAATAATTTCTCGAAGAAGACGCATTGAAAAAAGGCGCGTAGTAATTTACCAAAGCAACAAAGTGTTTCAAGATCAGTGTCCAAGCACCTTTAAAATACTTCCATAAGTAACAAGACAATATACCTGTGTGCATGTACCGGGTTTTATATGTAGAGCGTATGGTGCGTGTGCAATAACCTCAATAATTTGTACACGGTTCTTTACGTGTTTAAATTTGCTAAGACGTACGCCGTGGACGACGACGCCCACTTAATGACCGAATTTGTTTCTTTTTTGTTACAGTTCAACGTGAGCACTCCTCAATGGGTCCATAGCGACAGCGTTCACATGGAGCTTAACGTGACCAGCGGTCAGGTGCGGCAGATATTTCTTCCGCAAAACTTGCGACATTTCGGCTTCGAGAAAGCGTCAAAGGCCGTTTGGGTATCTGCTACGGATGAGGTGGCTGTATACGGTATCAACAAACAAAAGAATTCCTGTGACGGATTCTTAGGTCTACCGACCGATGTATTAGGAAAGCAATATTTTACGGTGTCATATTCACCTGCCAAGCGCCGCTGTCAATTTGGTAAGTCTTCGAGAAACATTTGTCGACTGCAGAAATAGTGAATTCGCTGAAATAATAATAAAATCCGCTTTGGGTTTTGTGGATACCAACTTGCAAGAAACTGATCTCAAGATTAAAAGATAAAGTTTATGTGTTATTGTCGGGACATGCTTTATCAAGATCAATTTTGATGGCGTTTCGAAACATTGCATAGAACAAAGTCAACATAATATTTTACATGTGCTCAAAATGCTTTAGACAAGCGCTTTTATTTACTGATATTATATGTTTGGCTCATCCTTTTGAAATTATTTGCCAACTCTCGTAAATGAAACCTTAGAGCATGATTTATAATTCCTGCGATTATTTTTCCAATTTATTTATTTATGTATTTATTTATTTATGTATTTATTTATTTAACTATTAATTAATTAGTTAATTTTTAAGTAGGCATTTTACTAATTACTAAATTTTACTAAATTCTTCCTGTCAATCATTCTAATTTTGATGAAAAAATGAAAGAGAAAACTTTTTCTTCGGTTGTTTCGTTACAATGGGCAAACTTGGACATTTGACCTGGCAGAGTGCAATCCACTGTTGCTATCGCTATTTCTCTGAAAATTTATCATTTTGTAATTATAAATTACTTGTGTGTCGGACACATATATATGGTCACTGTTCAGTCAGCGTTTTTATTTCCCAGGAATCGTTGCAACCGAAGACAACACGAACATTAACGTGACACTAGGCCACCAGCAACACCCAGTAGGCAGCGCTACGAATGTGGCGTATGAAGGAGTGAATTATGCCAATGGGGATGTCATGCACGTGGTATTAAACAGATTCGAGACCATTCAGTTCCAGGCCTCAAATGAATACGACCTAACAGGGTCATATATTGACGCCGACAAACCCGTGGCTGTATTCAGCGGGAATCTGAAAACCAATGTCGGCGATGGAAGTAGCCAAGACCACTTAGTCGAACAACTGATGCCTGTCGAAAGTTGGGGCAAGAAGTTTGCCACTGTTCCAATACCTGGTAGAGATATCTACAAACTAGGAGACGTGTTCAGGTTTGTTGCCAGTGTGGCAAATACTACGATTTCAATGACAGGAATTTCAGACCAAGGGACCGTACAGTTAAATCTACCGAACGCTGGCAGTTTCATCGAACATGTCATCGGGTTTAACACAAGTAATACATACACCCTCATTGAAAGCAACCATCCAATTCTAGTGGTTCAAATTGTTCAAAGTCAAGTGAAAAATAATGAACCAGCAGATCCCACCATGATCCTGATACCGCCTATAGAACAGTACGCCTCGGAGTATGCTTTCGCAACACCTAAGTACAGCAGGGGATCATACGAAAACTATCTATTGTTGATAGCTAAAAGCTCAGAAGCTAGCGGCATCCGCTTGGACACTGCCCCGCTTGAGAATGACGTAGTATGGCACGCGATCCCGGGGACTGACTATCAAGGTGCTACGGTCTTGGTAGCCGAGGGAACGCACATCATAAACCATGTTTCACCTATCAGTTTGTTTGGAGTTTTTATGTTTGGAACAGCACGCCTTGAAACTTACGGATTTCCTGGAGGCATGCGTATAGCACCTATTAATGCGGTAAATACATCAAAATTTAAATGGTCGTTTTTTAATAGGCAACACAACGCGCCTCAGAACACGCTTTAACCATTTTTCGAGCTTGAAGCTAAAATCATCAACAATCTCTGGTGTAGATTTAAGTAATGACACTTTAAACTTTCAATGATGTTTGAACATAATTTTCAACTGTCGTGTTCTGTCATTCAAAGTTTACCATCGTTATCATTTCATATCTCTCCTCCACAGGCCTGCGTACCCTCCACAATGGTAGGGGCAGATGGTTTTGACAACGACTGCGATGGAAGAATCGACGAGGAACTGTGTGATAACAATATCGGTGGGCTTTTATTAATATCATTGTTTTTCATTAATCGAATTAATCAGAAATTAACTGCTCACTCCTACACTGTCTTTGCAGAAAGTTTAATTAAATGTGAAGAAAGAAAAACGCAACTAAAATTTGGAATATGCAGTCAATATGTTTGCACTATGTTGCTGCAACAACCACAAACGCTTCAAAGTGCAAAGAAATCCCTGTGCAATATATTATAGCACTGTATTACGTATGTTTATTTATCTATCGTAGATGATGATAATGACGGGCTGCAGGACGAAGATTGTGCAAATGAAAAGAGTACAAGTAAGTATAAGTATATTGTTGTAACCAAACACCTTGTAGATGGGTAAAACGGTATTATGTACAAGTACCAAGAAACACTTTTGACTCGTGTCCGTAATTGTAATATTGAAAATTGAGAGAAGTGAGAGGAGTATTAATAATGTTCGTGAAAAAGACTAGTTTCGAAGGACAATGAAGTATTTGATCTTAAAGATATAATAATTTTCAATGCGGTTCATATTGGAATTTGAGAGCAGTCGAATACATGTAATATTGGAAGAAACGTCTTAATGAATCATTTAACACGAAGTTCACGGCAATTATATTCCCAATGTTTGGTTTGAAGCTCTTACCATGAATGAAATAGTGACTTCGACGGTTGAGGCCCCAGCTACGACTGTTGAGGCTACGACGACTACAGAAGCGCCAACCACGACCACTGAGACAGCAACTATGACCACAGAAGCGCCAACTACGATTGTTGAGGCTACGACGACTACAGAAGCGCCAACTACTACCAGTGAGGCAGCTACTACGTCTACAGGAGCGCTGACTTCGACTGCTAAGGCTTCTACTACGACTACAGAAGAGCCAACCACGACCACTGAAGCAGCTACTACAACTACAGAAGCGCTGACTTCGACTTCTAAGCCATCTACAGAAGCGCCAACTACGATTGTTGAGGCTACGACGACTACAGAAGCGCTTACTACGACCAGTGAGGCAGCTACTACGACTACAGGAGCGCTGACTTCGACTGCTAAGCCTTCTAGGCCTACTACGACTACAGAAGAGCCAACCACGACCAGTGAGGCAGCTACTACGACTACAGAAGCGCCAACTACGACCAAAGTGTCGCCAACCACAACTACTGAATCAGTTACTACAACTACAGAAGCGCAAACTACACTTATAATGTCGCCAACTACGAACACAGGAGCGCCAATTGCGACTACTGAGGCGCCCACAATGACTCCTGAGGCAACCTCGACGACTACTAGTGCGGTTACAACTACTAAGTCTATTACTATTACTGAGGCATCGACTTCTACCATTGAAGTAACTAGTGTAAGAACTTCTAACGCAGTTACCACAAACACCGAGACAGATACTGCGGTTACTACAGCAGCAAGAAAAACTACTACTTTCACAGAGGCAAGAGAAACTGGCTCTCGTGTCAGATCTACGACGCCCATTGTCTCTAACGGCACTTCAGCATTCCTCGCCACCAAAGAAGTTTCTACTGTGACAACCAATATGAATACAGATGCTGTGTATGTGACAGCTGTGGAGGACTTGAGGACGTCAGCTGCAGCAGACAGCACCTCTGAAACACAGACCACTGACACCAAAGGTTCTAATGATAGTGTAAGCATTTCAGCTGAAACAACACCGGCAGCCGCCACGCAGGCAGCGCAGCCACTTGGCGTCGCCAACAAACAGTTTCGCATAATGAACGATGATGGATCCCTTACGGCTGATGGCATCTCTGTTGTCACAGTCAGTGTGGTACCAGCCGTAAGCCTGGCTGTTGCACTTGCGATTGGCTGTTGTTATTTCTTAGCAGCAGGAAAGGTTCATCCCAGAGAGGATGATGAGGAGGAGGAGCAGGAGGAAGGAGACACCGTTTTGGTGTAGACACACGAATTACAAATTGAGAAAAGATTAATTTTGATGTCTCCCGTCATATATTCAAAGATAATTTTTTTTTATACTGGGCTATGTGAAAACAAAATTTCCAAGTGATGACCTTCCAATTTAATTGTTCTTAAGATGAAAATGCATTATAGAGAATCACTTTACTGTTGATATATTTTTAATATTGTCATAAAAGTCAAAAAAGAGTGGTAATATGTATACTTTATTATCAAATAAATCTTTTTACAGATTGTAGCGTTTAATCATTGAAATATCCT